AATGTTGAGAAGCCCAAATTGCCCAAACTAGTTTGGGCTTTGAGAAAACAGTTTGGACCAGAAACCTTAATGTGTACAACAAATGTATAATTAACATTTTGTCTTGTCTTGTCTTGTCTTGATAATAGTTGAGTTCCTTTTCCTTATTGTTATCCAATGTTAGATAGCATGATCAAAGGAAACAATGAAAAATTCTATCACATAAACTTTAATTAATTAAAAAATGTATTTTCATCACCATTAAGGTTTCCAGTCCAAACTGTTTTCTCAAAGCCCAAACTAGTTTGGGCAATTTGGGCTTCACGGCATTTTTTATAAACATGAACATTAAAAAACTATATCAATCAACTTATTTTAACTTAAACAACTTTAAAGTAACTTCGCCCAATTTTGGCTAACAACAAAAAATAGTTTGGGCTTATAAAAAAGTAGTTTTTGCCCAAAGTGATTCAGCAATTTCAGCTACTAATAAAGAGAGTTTCGGCCAGAAACCTTAATCACCATTCAATATAAGATGGTGCAGATCATCTATAATCATTAATTGCTTACAGTAACAATTGGTCAACTTCAAAATACTAAAACAAAAAATTTAACCAATAAGTTTATTGTTCATGACTCAAGCTTCAAAACTTATCAGCTGGCTTTTTCTTAAACTGAAAATTGGCTGAGCTTTAATTCCGAATTTTGTAATGCACTTAAGAAATTGAGACTAAGTAAATTTCGTGTAACAACTTTTTTTTCATAGAATATTTTTTACAACATACATTTGATTTATTTCCTTTTTTTATTAATAAATAAAAGTTCTTTACAACAAAAAGGTTTAACGAACATATTACATTAAAAGAAAATCATTGCCAAATTTGGTCGTGTGATTCTAAATATTGTAACACGAAAATTATTGTTGCTCTGAGCATAACTTTCAATTTAAAAAATCTATGAAAAGAAAATTCGAGACAAAATTTTTTTTTTTAGATTATAATTAATAGACTCCCCTTTTAAAGCTGAATTGAATGGTGGTGGGTTTTTTAAAATCCAATGTGTGGATCACATAATTTTAACTTTGAGTATAGATGATCCGCAATGTAACACAGAAATCCATTACCAAATTTAGAAACTATGTATACAGATTATTAACCGGCTAACATCACTAAATTTAACCAATAAACGTCGATTTTGTCCATCACATGAAGTACTTCATTATTCTCTTTGATCATAAAAAGAAGCTCTTTGCCTTCTATATGTCCAATATATTGAAATGATATTTCCTTATTATTACAGGTGAACAATCTAGAGTAAGGACGCAACTAGTTCAGTTTTTTTACTCAGATACAAAGCTAAATCATCTTAAAGTGTCCTGAGTAGGGTTAGATAACTAACTCCTGCTGAACTGGTTGTGGGATAAACGAGTTAATTTCCCAAGTAAAAAGATATTCACCAAACAGAGCAAATATTTTCTTAATTCAAAACTGAATGGTCTAAGGACTCATTCTCTTCAAAATTTGATGGAAGTTCTAGATCTTAATAGTAGTCTGCTAGTTCCTGCAGAGCTACCTTCAGTGCATACAACGTGTATCATTGTTTCTGAATGATGATTTAATGAAAAAAACAGAAACATAGGAGTAAGAGGGTCTACTGTGAAATCTTTACCAAACACAAAGAAAAATTTTAATATCTATTTATTTATTATACTTATTTTTAAAATAAATGAAATGTGATCATGAAGAACTCACCGATAAAACTTTTAAACAAGAGAGATTGATTACATTTGCTTGATTGGTTTGTAATATGTAAAATAGTAAAAAAATATAATGATAAATTTATATAGACCACATTCAAATGGAAGTGCATTACAAGCCTTTATATACTTGGTGTCATTGTTCTCAACAAAAATAAATATTTTTATAATATATTTTCTAAATAAATAAATTTTTTGCTCAATGAATAAATAATAATGTGAAAGAATATACTGTATATATATATGATTGAATCGTGTGTTTTTATTACGACAGACTATTTTGTATAACGTTTTATAACAATAAATGATCTCACGGTTTGAATGTGTGCACATTCATAAACTTGAACTTTGCCTTGATCGTTTGAAGATGGACAGGGACGTCGTGGTTGAATGTAGAATGTTGAGTTCTATGTGCCGAAATGGCTTGAGAGGAATGTCTCTATGTTGATGTCATGAAAAAAAATGTGGGGACGGCTGTCCTATTTATATGTTTCGAATTTAATAAAATAGACTATTGTTTTGGCCCGAGTGATGTCATTTGTTTGCTTTGCAACAAACAAGACGCAATCCAAATCCAATTTAAAATAAATGAATTTTGATCTCGCTTAGCATGGTGCACATGATTGTGTAATAGGTAAAAAGCGAAAGCTCACATTGCGTTCTTGGTTGTAAACTTGTTCAATAAATAAATAACGCAAATTGCACATTGCACATTGCAAGGGCTTGTTCATGAACTTTTGGTAAACTGAATTTTGGGAGAAGGATGAGAGCAAAATCGAAATGTGAAACATTGTGGTGAAATTTTAATTTGTTTTTTTGCGTTGACACAAATTTGTAAATTTATAAATTCGCATCAAAAAAAAAAAATCTTTAACTCTATTCCACTTTTGGAATAGTAACTTATTATTCTTGAGGTTAAAGGAAAAAGTAATGTGTAACAACTTATATATGTTATTATTATTCATTGAAGATATTAATGGATTTCTTTTTCAACAATTAACTTTTTTATTACCATCATACTGTATATAATTTATGTAAAAAAGGAATTAAATAATGAAAATATAAAAAAAGTAAAATACAAAAGGGTTTTCTGCAGAAGCAATTTGTATCTTACTTCTTACTACCATCCAAAAGAGCATCCAAGCAATTGACTAGGTCTGTTGTATCATAACGTGCTTCCTTTGGCATCCCAACGAGTTTCAAAATACCATCTACAATTACAAAAAATCGGAACGGCCAAGGTGAGTATAACTTCAAAAAATTATTATCCATTGTATCGGCCAGCACAGGAATCTGAAGATCAGTAGCCCTAACCATTTCACGTGCAGCTGTTAATCGTTCTTCTAATGTACGATGCTCCTTGACATCTACAATATTACCAATAGGCCAAACATCACTGGCATGTGCTTCACGAATTTGAATCATGTAAAAGTCTACATGTCTTTGATATTTCTCGTGAATGTCATTGAGTACGTGAGATATGTATCTATATAAAGGACAAGTATGTGATCCACCAAGGAGAACAAAAGGTCGTCCTGGTCTATAAAGTGAACACAATTGAACTAAGTTTGATGAGTTAACATTCATACTTCTTAGAGGAACTAGTGGACAATCAGGTGCTAGCATTCCTTCTTTGAGGTCTCCAATAGAAGCAATATTGTTGCGAACATATAATTGAGTTGTACGAAATGCAGGATCATCTGAAAATAAAGAAAACAAATTTAATGGTGCTAAACATATACAACTGACAAATAATATGACAAAAAAAGAATGGAAAACTTTCTTTACCCTGATAAAGTTGTGGAGCACGTCGTAATAACTGTACAGCTTCATCTGAGTAGCCAAAATCTCTAACCAATTCATGTTGCATTTGATCAGTGACATCCATCCAGTCCTTGCCAGATGTGGGATCACTTCCAACCTTGTGATACTGTTGTTGTATTTCTGGTGACAGTCTTCTCCTTTCCTCCTCACGTAGCAAGCCCAACATCTCTTCCTTTTTTGTTGGAAGTATTGGGAAGACGATAACAGGATTAACAGAGACATCTTTTGGAAATTTATTTTGATCTACTGGATTCAATAATTCCAAATAGCTATGTTGCGCGTCATGAACCAAGTTGGCCATTTTGATACACTCATAGCACAAATCATAATCAAGGCATTCTGAACAATTATATCTATGAGAGACAAAATATGTCAAATAGATAATCATGTAAGTAAATTGCAAAAGCATGTAACAAAATAAATATTTTCATAGCTTGTAAAAAAAAAAAACTAATTAAACCAATCATCTACCTTGCTCCTTTCCATTCTTTTTTACCACAATAATTACAAGCAATACCAGCATGGTTTTTACCTTCTACATGTCTTTCAGGAGCTTGCAAGTATTGCATAAGCGGTGGCAATGCACTGAAATTTATATACCCGCTGGTTTCTTGAAGCATTCCTCCACGTAATCTAAGTACAAGATGCAATGTGGATGCTTCTTGAATATCGTAATTTGACAAGGTCTTCCCATCTTCCAATTGCTTGCCAGCAAAAATAAGACGCTGTTGATCAGGAGGAATTCCTTCCATATCTTGTATCTTTTGTTTAACTATATCAATGGTATCGGGCCTATCTACAAACACTTCAAGGACTTTTCCAGTTAGTGTTTTTACATAAATAAAACTACTCGAAGTTACTTGAAGGTATAATTTTGACCCATTTTGAATATTACAATCTTCCAAGAAGCGATCATTACTCAATCGTTCTCCATTAAAAGTTAGATTCTGTTGATGAATAGAAATACCCTCAGAAACTTTAATCTTTTTTTTAACATTTAAGATTGCATCTCTCTCAGTTATATTAAATTCTATAATTTTTCCAGTTTGGGTTTCCACATAAATTTTGATTGGATTTTGTAGGTATAATTTTGACCCTTTTTGGATATTACAATCTTCCAAGAGGGTAGCATTATTCAATTGGTTTCCATTAAAAATTAGACGCTGTTCATAAATAGAAATACCCTCAGACTCTCTGATTTTTTCTTTAACATTAATAACTCTTTGCCTCTCAGTTACATCAAGTTCCATGGTTTTTCCAGTTTGTGTTTCCACGTAAATTTTAAATGGAATCAATTCTGCTTTAAAAAAGCTTCCTTCCTACGATCAAGTAAGAATGAATAAAACATAATTTACTGAAATTGCAAGCATGGCCATTTCTCTTTCCCTTCTGTTACAAATGTATTTCATAAATATTTACATATAAACACTCACCCGTACTCCTAATTTTTTAAAGCTATCAGTATCATTATATTGTATGCCCTGTTGTTGTTGTTCATATATAAGATTATAGTTATATTTATCGTATTTAAGAAGTGCTTTAAGGGACTTCAGCAGTAACTCCGAGGTAGTGTCCAATGTCACATGTGCTTTATATGTGGAACCTAGTGGGGTTTGAACGAAAACATTAAAAACAGAAGGGAGGTCTGGAACAGAAATCAAGTACATTTTTTTGAAATTTTTTTACTTTATTTTTTTTGAAAAAAAAAGTAACAGTTTGAATCTTAATTTATCAATAATGGTTCAAAATTCCAAGTTTAAAAATAATTGTTACCAAACAATTTTTATTTTTATTTCTATTCTAGCCGGAGTATTAGTATTAAAATTTGCCGCTTATTAATTAAGAACATATCCATTTTTAATAATTTTTCATTGGTCAAACCTATATTTTGCATCTTTTGAGAGATCTAAATCAGAAACCTGTATGTCTATTGTGATAAACCCAAAAAAAAGATTTAACATTTACCGTGTCACGATCTTCTTCCAAAACTCGCAAGTCGTGCGACTTCCGTGCAGTTTTCTCGCCGATTGTCTCCTTTTGCGTCTAGCCGCGCCAGCATAATGGACACTCATTTTGTGCAACAGTCATTTGTATAATAGGCAGGCGGTTACACAGAGCCCATTGCTTCTGAAACTTCACTAGAATATAGCTGTAGCCTCTCTAAGTCCAGATCATCAGCAAGATCAAAATTATCTCACACTTTTATAATCAAACTTTTGCAAGAACTTTCACCATAACATATGTTATGTTGATCATTTTTTTTGTGATCTGCAACAGTGTCCACTATGCTAGCCGCGCCTGGTCTTTTCGGTTTTTGGCGCGATCAACGTTTTCACCATATTTAGCAAAAACTTGTTTTATAAAACAGGTTGAGTTGCGTTGAATTGAATTGCAATTGAAAAATCTGTTTTTTAAACCTAATTTTTTGGGAAGGAATTTTTTGCTTTCGCTGAGTGGTAAATTTTTTAAAAAAATTAAAAATACAAATAGAAAAAAAAATTTGATCTATATGCGTAATTTTTATTACGAAAAAAAAAAAATACAAAGAATAATAAAAATTATTCAGTGTCACAACTCTTATCACCGTCGTCGTTTACCACTGTTTCATTCTCATTGTATGTGTCAGTTTCGTTGCTCTTGATATGCTTGATTCTTCCTGTGGGTCATGGTCTACACTTCTTCTTTTTTTACCCGACTCCCTGATGTGACTTGTGTTCTTTCTCTTGATGTTGGAACTCATGAATCGTTCCTCAAAATCCAGATGTTTGGATTTTAATGCTTTGCTTGGGAATTTCTTATCATCGTTGTTGTTGGTCTTTTCAACCCTCGGATAAGTCCACTCGATTTCACTTTATCAATTATTCAAATAATTGTATAGGCAGGCTTGGTAGAAGTAAGTGTTAAAGTCAAGATCTATTTGCAAATCAAGTTTCCAAAATGACCGTTTATTATTATAGGCGGGTTTGATCAAAGTAAGTCTTAAAGTCGAGATCTACGAAGCTGTTTGTAAAATATATTT